TGAACAGGACCTAGGGTAAAATAATGAGAATTCACCCTGTCACATGGTATGTGGCACCCTGTTGCGTATACCCTGTTGCGTGGTTCTCAAACCCAGCTGTCATATTTCCAGCTGACAAGGTCAGCGCCTTTAAATCATAAGATTTAATTCAACAACTCTGGTCACTTTTTGGTTTAAGATTTTCCCTGTATATAACCTCAGACTTGAGAGTTAAGTTCAGGGGTGGGATTCAAAAATCCCAGCAACCAGTTCGCTGCCCGGATGCTGGGTGGGCATGGCCTACCAGAAATCCCAGCTTCCGATGGGCCTCCAGAACCTGGGAGAGGCTGTTTTTGCCCTCCCAAGGGTCCAGAGGCCTCCCCTGGGGCTCTGGGAGGGTGAAAACAGCCTTCCCCAGGCTCTGGAGGCCCTCTGGAAGGCGGAAACAGGCCCATTTCTGAACTTCCAGAAGATCCATTTTCCCCCTCTCAGAACCTCCGTGTGGACCCTGCACTTACCTCCATGGAAAATGGGCCACACGGAGACTCCTGGGAGGGGTGGGGCAGGGTGAGCAAGGCCAGCCAGTTGGTTGAAATCCTGGTTCAGCGAACTAGATGGGAACTGAGCATCTGGTTCGGCCGAAACCGGTAGAATCCCACCACTGGTTAAATTCCACTCTTTTAGTTAGGACACAGTTAGATAGCCAGAATAAAAAGTAGTCTACCAGTCCTGGAGCAGTCAGAAGAGGATGGTGGTTATAGTATAAGCTTCCATGATGGACTAGCTCCAAGCTGTTTCAGTACTGCTTCACTAACAAAGTATGAAGCCAGTGTCATGAGGACATGTCATATAAAAATATTTATCATGCTGCCATTAGGGAAAGGTGACAGCCCATAGACAGCTCCACAATAGGCATGGATGAATTTCAGGTTTCCAATTTTGATTCAGTTTGTTTCATTCCAACATCCATTTCACAATAAGAAAGAAAAACATGAAAATGTGCCTGCATTTTGGAATTTTTCAAGAGTGAGCATTTCTGTATATGCTTTGCCTTATACACCTACATTTTGCAAGCGATTTTAACTATCACAGCAGATTTTTGTGTCTTATTTTCACCAACATATACTTTTCAATGCTCTTCTGGTACAACATTTTATTTTGTACAGAGATTTAATGAGAATACAGCACTTCAGTTCAAAAAATACAAACTTCAAAGAAAAACTGAGTTTTGTGGTTCTTGAAGAAAATTACTATTTCAACTGAAATCTAAATTTTGTCTCTCATCACCAGGCCAGTAGCTGCAAGACTATTGGAAGAAAAGACATTTATTCATTGCAAATACAAAGGTATAATGATTACCTGTTATAAATGAAGTCCAATAAATAGAGGATATTAGAAAACAATGCACTGGTTCTAGAAAGAACATCTAGAATCAGAAATAGCAGAACAGGGGCTAAGCAGAACAACACCAATTTATAATATGAAATGAAGAATTTACAGTAGCAGAATTAGAAGAATTGCAAATGTTTACCCAGGATAAAGAAACTGAAACCTTGCCAGAAGAAGTTCAGGCTGTAGAAGCAAACCAGGGAGATTTGGCAGTAGAGAAAGCCAGCATAGTTATTGAATTGTTTTCATTCTCAAACTAGACCCCTTGACCTCACCCTTCTCCTCAGAAAGAACAAAGCCCTCTAACTAAAATAGAAGAATTTAAACAAGTAATAAATGAGCATCTAGAACAGTACAAAAACAACAGCATGAGGTTGCCTGTATTGAAGCTGGTTACAAAAAAAAACTACAGCTAGCACAAAAAGCAAAAGATGCCAATACTATAATATCAAATATAAGCACCAGTTCACTGCAAGAAGCAAACCACTTCACTTCTATACATTACAACATGGCTGCAGTTAAAACTGAATACCTTATATGTAAAATAAACAAAGAAGAAAAAAAGCTAAATGGGGCACAGATATAGGTATAGGTGCCTGCTATAACTGCTAGTGGGGGTGTGACTTGATTGGGTGGGGGCTTGGCTGTGTTCTGATTGAGTGGGGGGGGTGTTCTCATTGGTTGGGAAGGAACCCCACTTAGACCAATAGTCAGCTCCATAGGCTCACTTCTACAAAACCTAGCCAAATTTCTTGCCAAACAACTACAGCCCTATGCAGAATCCATCAACTCACACATAAGAAACTCATTCTAGTTCATCGAGATCATAAAGAAACAAAACTTACAACCCAGAGACCTACTAGTGAGCTTCGATGTCATATCCCTCTTCACCCAAGTGCCTATAAAAGAAGCCTTGAGAGCCATCCAAAACAAATACAACCCCCCCAAGCACATCCTAGATCTGACCAACCACTGCCTATCCAATACATACTTCACCTACAATGGACAAAAATACAAACAAATAGAAGGAGCACCCATGGGATCATCCCTCTCACCTGTCATCGCAAACCTCTACATGGAACACTTTGAAACACAAGCTCTAGAAAAATATATTCACAAACCCAAACTCTGGCTCAGATACGTAGATGACTCCTTCATAATCTGGCCACATGGGAAAGAAAAACTGAACAACTTCCTCACACACCTCAACAGCCTACAGCCCAAAATACAATTCACCATGGAAACAGAAGCTAACAATCAACTTCCCTTCCTAGATGTCTTAGTATACAAAAAATCCAATGGCTCCCTAGGACACACCATCTACCAGAAGAAAACACATACAAACTGCTATCTACATGCACTCTCACACCACCACCAGCACAGATCAATTCCATAGCCGAGACACTCATCTCCAGAACAAAATGCTTAGCCAATGAACAACACCTAAAAACAGAACTACACACTCTCACTAACGTACTAACAGCCAATGGATTCCAAAGAAAGAAGATTACCCACCTAATCCAAAAAGAAACCCCAACCAAAATCCAAGACAGAGAACAAGAGAATGGCAAAGCCCTCATCCCATACATAAAAGGCACTACAGACAAAATCAGCAAGATCCTCCAAAAACACAACATTAAACCAGCATTCTACGCAAACAGAAAAATATCCACCTTCCTAAGAAACCCTAAAGACAAAATCGAGTTAGAAAACCAAGGAGTATACGAAATCCCTTGCACCGCCTGCCCCACCACATACATCGGACAAACTAACAGAAGAATAAGTGCACGCATTGAAGAACACAAGAACTCAATCAAAAAAGAAGAACCGACCTCTTCCCTGATGTACTGGCCTGTCTCCTGGTAGCACCTCCATGCTCTGGACACTACGCTGACAGACAGAGCAAACCTTCTTGCCACAGATCGCATTGATGTACCATCCTGGATGAGTTGCACTACCTGAGCCACTTGTGTGGGTTGTAGACTCCGTCTCATGCTACCACTAGAGTGAAAGCCTCGCCAGCATTAAAAAGTGACCAAACCATCAGCCAGAAAGCATAGGAACTGAGAAGTGGTCTGTGGTCACCACCTGCAAAATCACTCCTTTATTGGGGATGTCTTGCTAACTGCCTATGCTTTCCACCTGTTGTCTATTTCATTTTCACAACAGCATGTGAAATTGATTGTCAGTCAGTGTTGCTACCTAAGTGGACAGTTTGATTTCACAGAAGTGTGATTGACTTGGAGTTACATTGTGTTATTTAAGTGTTCCCTTTATTTTTTTGAGCAGTGTATATTCACACATACACGTACACACACACACCCTTGCACGGAAAGCAGATAACAACAAGGCCTGGGAATAGCTAAGAGCAGGAAAGTTGAAACAGAGAGGGGCTAATTCTGGGTGCACAAGACCAAGCCTTAGGACAAATGCATAAAAAACCAGAATTGAGAAGACAGCATCAGACAGCAAATTCCACCTAGGGAAAGAAGCTAAAGAAACACCTACTTGGCCGCTGCAAAAACTGGGACTTTACATTCAACAGACACCTTGACCTCACCCTGTCACATAACAACCCAGACTTAAAATTGTTGATAAGCAAGACAAAAATGTCTGGATAGTGGGTAGTTGCAGTACCTGGAAACAACAGAAGAGAAAAAAAAACTAGAGAAAATTACAAAAGCCTGTGAATAGAAGTAGAACAACTGTGGCAAAAGAAAGCAAAAATGCTACCAATAGTAATAGGTACTTTGAGTACAATCCCAAAACTACTGAAGCACCATTTGAACACCATTGGCATTGACAAACTCTCTTCAGTCAATTGCAAAAAGCAGTTTTACTCATCACAGCTTACAACCTGCAAAAATAACTGTAACGCCATCAAACAGTAGCATCTGTCTATCCCAGATCATTGGGAAGAACTCAATAAGTGGGCAAAAATGCCAAATCCAGTCTAAACATTTGGCTGACTATATGATCAACCAAATATTTTTTTTAGATAGATAGATAGATGATAGATAGATAGATAGATAGATAGATAGATAGATAGATAGATAGAT